TTTCTTGGTATGATTATTGTATTTATCAAGTTTTAAAGTACTCTCTTCCCATAAAATTGATATCGTTATTTCATTAATATTCAGTTTAATGAATCATGATTGTAAGAGTTAATAAGTTCCTTTTCTCTTATCTGAAGGTCTATAATGGAAAAAAATAAACGTCTGTGTTAACACTATGTATATTTGCGACTAGCTAAAAAGATTTATGATTCACAATATATTACAACAAATTTGCTTACTCTACATTTCTATACTATATTACATATGTGTACCTTCAGTACTCCCCCCTTAAAAACAAATAATCATCACACAAAGACTAAGAAACTGGCAGCTTGAGTTGCCGTGACATTGTTCGGACTTGGCCGCACCAGCTGCCTCTGGACCCAGTTCCTGGCAGAGCTACGACGGTGATGCCACAACAGATAAACGATAGCTAAAGCGATCACTATAGCCAGTGCCACCACAGCCCAGCCGATGTTGTCCAGCTTCGATTGCACCTGTTGTGTCTGCGTTACCACAACCTCGTTTTTTTATAATGAGAATTATACCACAACCTCTTTTTTTTTATAATTCTCAATTCTGTTGTTTCTTGAATTACAGTTGAAACGTGCAGATGTTAGTTTCTTCTGGCAGGTTGAAGTCCACGCGTCTACGTTTTGTTTTAATAGTGCTGGCTGGCTTTGTGTCTGTGATGTTTAACCCAGAGGTGCAGGCCTCTTTGGTGCTACCTTAATAAGGTTAGAAATGACCTCATAGTTTAATTGTATGTCAATTAGGTATTTATAACTCATCGAAAACAATTTATCAAATTCTTTTTTCTGTGTTCAATTTTTGATTACTCTTTTATTACCATCCTAATGTTGTCATTCAGGTTACAGCCGGAGGATTCATGAAATAAAATATTATATTTTCTTAATCTATCTCGTTAATCTTAAGTTTTCATTTTCTGTTTGATCTGCTATTTAATTAATTTAAATTTGCTTGAATGAAGCGTTTTGGTTGTAGATGGGGGATGAGAAGCACCCCCCAGGCTTCAGGTATAAGGAATAAAACTAGAAATAAAGTTTAACAATCTTTATTTTTGTTCTCAGGGGGTAGGTAAGATATTCGCTCGTTATGGTTCTTGTTTCTATAATTACGAGGGGAGGACTTAGCTTTAAGTTTTGCTAGGGGATTTAGTGACGAGTTCGCGGGTTCAGCGTCACGGGCCGGGCAGCAGCACCGAAGATCCACGAAGCTCAGGAGGATTGGGGTAGAAGAAGAAGTAGAAGTAAAAGTAGAACTAGAACCCTGTAACATAAATACAGCAATTTGGAAAAATCAAATCACAATGAATCCATTGGATTCGCGAGAAGTCGTTTAAATACTATGCCACCACTATGAGCCGCGCTGCGCTCCTATGTCTGCCTACCTCCATAGTACAATTGTTAACATTGTACCTACAATTATTTTTAATTATATTTTTCTTTAAATTTATTTGTATTATAACAGGAAATTAAGACATCAGATAAACATTCAAAACAAGGACAGTTTATTAAGTAAACTGTTACATGAAATTCTTGTATAATTCAAGCCTTTAGACGGTGATGACTTACGGAAGCTAACTTGTATACTACAAGTAATTATTTCTCAGCCAGCAGTTTTATATTTTCTCTTCTTTTACTTCTTAAAATCATTTCAAATAGGTACTTTATAATTTTTTGTAGCCATCATTTATAATTTTGACTAACATTTCCTTCAAAAGACGTTGACCCAAAGTATTGATTTGTATTTCTTCCAGTGGAAGACTCCATATTGTCAACAATGTAATCCCGTTCTTGAAGTAAATCGGCGAGTCGTCTTTTTTTAGATTTATCGCTCAGGTCGTCAAAAGTTTTGGTAGGACGACCCGGAGTTGATGTTGAGGGTTTGGGGTGGCGGACAATCACTTTACACTTGAAATCTTCTACCACGTAAGCAGAATGGTTGGCCAGGAACCGTTCATGATTGCCTCCGGAACTTTTCCATTTTTCAGCAAATTTTGAAGAAGTTCTGCTGATATGGTTTCTTAACTCTTTCATGGAATGATCGCTGATATCCGATAATCCGTGTCTGTTCCTTAAATATTCATATAATGCACTGGTTCGATTTTCTTTTGGGTGTTCACGCCATTCTTCCAAAAACTCTATTTTCGAGATGGTTAATTCGATCTCTAGAAAAAATAAAAAAAAAAGAATAGTTGTAAATTTTTGTGAATTTTATGACTACTTAAAATCGAAAGCTAACAAATAAATCTATGATATATCAAAAAATCAACCCAGGGGAAAGAGGGGAGAGGTAGTTTCTGTCCCATCAAACATTAAAATCGATTAAAAAATATAATACTTTTGCAATATAGCACAAGTATTATATTTTTTTCACCTTGTAAACGATGGAAAAAAAACTGTAGGTACTTTAAGTTATAAAATAAAAAGTACATACCTTCAGCTACAAAATCCATCACAGATTTTTTTAACAAGTATAAAATTCACAAGCATATGACGTTTCTCGTTAGAAGCAAAATTGCAACTAAATAATACTTTACTTACCCCTTATTTATATTACTACCCTCATTGGCTTGTTAGTGATTGAAATGTGCAAAACATTTCTTAGAACCGGGATAATATTTCAATTTCCCTTCCATAGGGAGAAATAATATTCAACGGAAAATAGGACCTAGAAAAATATATTGATTTAATAATAAAAATAATCGCCTTTAGTTTATAGGAGGCTATAAAAAGACAGCATGTGTTTTTTGTGTTTTATTATGTTCTTTTTTTTAATTAATAGAGTCGAGTAACAAGCATCATGAGATTCTCTTATTTTGTAAATTACTATATCTCTTCATATATATATGAATACATTATTCAAAATAAAATCAACATTTGTATTATGGTGACAAGTGATGAATGAAAAATTTATATTTTCATAACAATATTCCAATAGTCTATATTAATCATGTGGCCTCTTGCGCGCAGTAAATTATTAATAATTGCAGCACCAGGTTCCACTTTATTGAGTTCCTTTGAAGTATATATAAGGCTTTTTTAAATCGCTATATTCTAAATATAATTTTCATATAGTTATATATGATTTCGTCACAATCTTCATCTGCAAAACATTACATGAAGAGTTCACAATTTTCACATTCCCCTCTTTTTCGCTTCAAGAGGAACCCACAAACATATGCACAAGCTTGTAGTTCAGCAGAATCTACTAAAGAAGTATTTTCATCTGTTATAAGTGGTGCGTGGAAAGTGCCTTTATATGAGATAAGCCCACACAACTGCTCATTGAATACCTTTAATTGTATTTTATCACAATCGCCGATAACCACCAAAACCTTCCTCCATTTTTATATTCCTCCAAGACCATAGTGGTCTAAACTCTTAAAATTTCACAGATTATAACCCTACAGTGTGTACACAAGAAGTTTTTTAAAATTATCTATAATTGATTCATTTTTATCCTGCTCACAATTGCCATGTACCAAGTGAGCAAGGTTTGGACATGATCGATGTTTTAAAGCTGCAATTAATTGTCCAACATTCGGATTACTATTTACTCCACAGTTCCCCCTAATGCATCCAAATAAACTTTCGAGGGGATCTTGTTGAAGTCTACGTGTCGCTTACGATTTAACGACGCTGTGTTTCAATCGCTCTATTGCATTTAACGACCATATCCAACCCTGCTGTTATGGTGTTCGTGGGCAACCTACAAATTCTTTTGCAAATAACTTTCTCATGGTGAAAAAAAAATTGAGATGGAGTGGTTTTTCACTTAAATTTGTAGCGTATGGCTTTCCTCCTCGTAAATCAGGGCTCTCGCTATTTGGACAGTCAAATAATTTGTCCATGTTTGCAATTAGATCTACTGTAATGGATACATCTGACGGCAAATGTCCCGAAAAATGTCAATACTTGTTTCTTTATAACAGCAGATCCTTACCTATGGCATTTCCAATAAAAACTTTTTCGCCTACTAAGTTTTTAACTAATTATACCAAATTAATTCTCATTGCATTACATATTGTACTGAATTTATAGTAATATTTATATCTAGAATAAGAAATATGTTTGAATATTGATATAATACGTATTACAGAGCACTGGCTCAAAAATTATGAATTGATTACGGGTTTTGAAAATTATAAGTTCATTCTGTAGGATAAATGCCATACAAGGAGGGTCTTTAATAATAATAAATAATTATTTAAAATTGAAAACGTGCAAAGAAGAATAAAAGTAAAAGAATTGATGGCAAATTATGTCAACAGCACATCAGGTGAAGGGTCATTAGACTTAATAAAAGACGGACTGTAGATTATAGGTGTTGTTGTAATTAGGTAAATCGCGACGTTATTCGTTCGTGTGGTCGTCTCACAGCCAAGAAGTCAAGGAGCCAAGTGGGGCTGCGGTGACGTCGAATGTCATTCGTAAGGCGTCGGCCAGCGCCGGCGTCGCCGTCGTATCCGGTGGAGTGGGAAGCCGAGCGTGCATCCGGCGCGCCAACATCAGGTTACACAATAAATTTCTCTTTATTTTAAGCCTTCTCATTAAAGACGTGTTTAAAGTCAATAGTGGAAATTTGACGTGTTGTGGTAACCAGATGTCTGTGATGTGTATGTATGTAAATGCTGATGATATTGTTACCTTCAGATATTTTGGTAAACATGCCTGCTGCAACAGAGTAGCTCAAAACTTGTGCAGCCAATTTTTTTTCATATTCTCTTTCATATTGGGATTTAAATGATTTCTCGAAAGTTAGAGTAAACAATACATTAATAACATTACTTTTTTTTTTATAATAAAGGCTTATATTTATTTTAACATACCGTATAATAGTTGGGCTAGATTTGATATCTAGTGGCTTTAACATTTTTCATTTCATAATACTAATTCTAGCAAAAGGTACATAAATAAGTTTTATGCCGTGTATAATTTAGTTCTGTTTTTGTGAACAATTTCCTGTTTATAAGTGTATCTTAACATGTGCTCCTAAGTTCTCTAATACTAAGCAAGGTCCCAAAAAAATACTCCGTGTTTTACCATTACTGGGGTTCCTTAACAAAATGTAATCCGTTAACTCTTATCTGGATGAATCATCACACCAAACTCTTAAAAGCTAAAGCACTCAAATCATCAAGATTAATCTTCCCGTCACATATCACAAACGAATCGTCTCCTAGGTACATCTCACCGAGTGGTAAGTGTGCTGTCGTCTCATAAACACAGTATCTAGTTATAAATATATGGTAACTATGGTGTCAATGATGTTGGTAAACACTGATCCTGTAGGTACTCCACCTGACTTAATAACGTTCACAGACAGCAAACGATACTGGTGTATTTATAAAATACCTGATCAAGCGGTCTATAAGCCTTCAAGTCCTATCCGGGTTTACATTCCTGCATCATTACTACCTGTCACATGCTCTAAGTCCATTGAGTCGAACACCATATAAAATGTATCTCTTATAAGCCATAGTGGTACTGTTTTATCGAATCGACTAAAGTCAGTCCAATCATTGGTTTCCCTTTATGATAACGAATCATATCATCGATATAAGCCATATCCCCTGTAACCATCTCAAGTCTATAAGCTTTCGGTGCAGTAGTAATCTTTAATAAACTTGATGGTAGAAAGAAGCACGCCTCCTTTGATATCACATCTAATGGCACACCCCATTCTCCACGAATCTTGTTATTATCAAGCGTAACATCTTGAACTCTAAAGAATGCTGCTGTGTCTGGTAGTCCTGTGTCTCGTCCTCTTCCTATCGCGTCCCAAGGTGCAAGTATCTCATTGCGTGCTTTTTTATTCTTGAGCACACATACTTTAGTCTTGTATCCTCTCTCAGTCCATGGAAGACCAGGAGACTTATCTTGAACCAGAAAACTCCGACTGCGATACTTATAAATATTCCTAACTATGGATTTAGTATACTTATGATCGTAAGACAGAATGTTGACTTTTATTTCCTCATGACTTGCGACTGATCGATGTAATGCACTTATAGCGTGGTCAACTTGAAAGCGACCAAATGCAGCGTTTGCAAACATGCATGCATCACTATCTAGTCCGTGGTGTCGTGTATCGATTTGAAAGCCCTTCTTAAGCGCCTACCACACGTTCATGCTTGACTACAGTTTTGCTTGCGCATGCTTCTCGCATGAAAAGACTGAACACGGACGTGTCTGCCACACAGCACAGTTAAGTACGCGCAAGCCACATTCTTGTCAACATCGGCGGCGTGGAAACATTGTTTCCCAATGAAGAAGTACTTCTTCTGCTATTATTTTGCAAGTGTTTGCTAGTAAAAAATTAAAATGCAAAAGTCTAAACGTAAACGATCAAAGTGGACAAAAAATATCTGTTGAATAGAAAAATTCACGAAAAACGATTGGCGGAATTATCGACGGATAGACGAATATGCCTATAGTGAGTTGTTATGTTTGGTTACGCCTCTCATTCAACGACCAAACACGGATATGCGTGAGAGTATATCCCGTCACGAAAGATTAACCGCTTGTAAGGGTGTTATTTTCCTATACAAAATAAAAGGGTAAAATAGTAAATTTGTGATATAATAAACACAGAGTTTTGTCTCAATGTCCAATTTATTAATTAACTAATTCTTTAGTACAGGTATATTGATTTATTATAATTAATAGTATTCATAATTTAAGTACCTATGTTAACATTAACACATGTCTTGGACATCATTTGAGATGTAAAAAAATAATAAATGACCTAAGTCTGAAAAGAGGGTCGCTTTCTGTTGGTTCGCGATGTTGATCGAATTTAACCAAAGTTCTACAATAATAATAAAAAAAACAACCTTGGCCCCTGCCGTTAGATGACAGTGACCTGGAGGGAAACATGAACAAACACAAATATGTGCGAGCGTCTGCCAACCAGCACAAAAATAAAAGACTTGTTTCACTAACCTTGTCTTCTCATTAAGGCAGGGATATAAACTCAACAATTGCTTGTAACTTGACCCAACGGCTACGTCCTCTTCACATGCTTCTCTAAGGTGAACATGGAATCCACCTCGCCGTTATAAGTATACAACGTGTCCCAAAATTCAACGATAAGCGGGCGCCAAGAGGTGCCCTTGCTCATGTGTACTTATGGAAAAATAAGAAAAAAATTATATCTTATCTTTTTTATTATAAAATTAAATTCGAAAATCTTCGAAAATTTACACCTTTTATGATATTTTCAACTACCACGACCACAACTTCTCAATTATGTTGAATCTTTTTTTGGTATCGGATACCTAAGTAGCACTACTATTCGCTACAACTCTTTCGAAAATTTTCGAATTTTATTTTATAATAAAAAAGATTAATAAGATATAATTTTTTTCTTAATTTTCCATAAGTACACATGAGCAGGTCTACCTCTTGGCGCCCGCTTATCGTTGAATTTTGGGACACGTTGTATATAAATTTGAAACGTCTTTTTATAGATCTACCATCTATAAAATGAAATGTAAAAGCTGGAAATATTATCTTCTTGTACTCTGCCACATGATATTTCCATTCATCATTTTATATATTCATTATGAATATAAAATAAAAACTTAAATCTCTGTGAATTCTAATAAATTCCCATCTGAAACAAAATGTCATGGATTACCATATGTTTCTCATAACTACAAAACTTACAAATCGTTTTATTTTAAAATTGTACTTACGGCGGAGTGCCAACAAAATAGCATCGGCTATTTTATTTAAAGATGTTAAACAAATAAAATCTTCTCCGCCAACCCATCCCGCCGACCTGTAAGATCATAAGGAAAATGTGATTGCGAGAATACAAGTAATTACTTGACCATCGCATGAGGATTCCTAGAATGGAATAATCTATTTACCATGTTATTATTCTAAATATCAGGATTCATCCAGATATACATTTCCTGTTCCTTATTTGAAATTTGAAAAAAAAAAAGAAAAGACGATCTATTTCTTTAGATTCGTTCCTTCAAAAAGCAACCTCGACGTCATTCTGCGTCCTCTATCAAGGACTCAATTTAATGGCACTGGAACCTGCCATTTGGCCTATCAATAATCTTTTATTGATACTAATCGATATTTTGTAACTGCAATATTTTGCAACGTTACACGCTACTTTAAGGTAAAACATTCTTTCTGAAATTAGATTAATCTACTATATTATTTTATCAATCTACTATATAGATAATAAAATATTACACCAGATATTTTAATGACAAATTAATTATAATTCTCGAAAATTTACAGTAAAAAGTATTTCTTTCAACTGTTTGTTTGTGTGAACATTGATGAAAATACCGTCACTAGTAGCAAAAGTACAAGTATTTAAGAAACTCGATATATGTCTAGGGCAAAAGAAAGGTCTAGGACAGCTCAAATAATTTAAATTGAATTTAATATTTTAACGCGGCACCATTGGCATTTATTACTGCGTCCAGTCTCGATCGCATTGAGAGTACCAAATTTTGACAAAGGTCAGAAGCTCGTAGCGACTCCCGAACTGTTTCACAATGAGTGATGAGTGCCTCCTTCGTCCTCTTGTTTATATTGTCCCACCTTTGGACCATTACTACCCACATATTATCGCACGATTCGAATGTCTGACTGTGCCTCTAGCCAGTTTTGAACCACGCGAGTGGTGTGGATTGCGCAATTGTCATGTAGAAACATTAGTTCTGGAATTTCCGATTGCGGGTGGGAGTTAAAGTCTTCTGTAGAAGTTCCCGATATAACTGCCCGTTAGCCTTCACAGAAACATTTTCCCCGGACCAGCGGCACTCATCCTAGTGATGTGCCATCTCGGAAAGAACAAAACTCAATTTAACCCGAGTTAAAATCCACATAACTCGAGTTGAACTCGAATTACGTAGCTCAAGTTAACTGGATGGACAAGTGGGTGAATGCTTTTTTTGAATTATTAGCAGTTTATTCCCTTAGCTTCGCATCAATAGTTAAAATAATATGGAATAGACAAATGATATTTTTATCTGTTTCAATTCTTTCATTTTCTATATCATTTATTTCTAAACTATTGGGAGAGTTTGTAATGTATAAAAAAATAAAGTGGCTTAAAATTGTAGTAAGTTTCAAAGAAATTTTGTTAAGAGGTCACTAACAAATTAAATAAATATAAGAAACAAATTTTTTCAGGCGCCAAAACCTACCTGGAAGACTAAGCCGGAGAGTTTGGAATTTTAATCACAAGGGGACCTTGTAAATAACGAACAACAAGTTTACTTTCGGTGTGCCATGTGTTTTAGAAACTTTTAGGTAAAATTATAGTTAAATTTACTATAATTTCCAAAAGTCTAGGTATTTTCTTTAACTAATAATAAAAAGGCTTACATCACCAACTTTGTCACTCCTTAATGCATCGTGCTTACATAGCTGCATTATAATACCATCGTGCTAAGCTGGCGAGATTAAACCGCGAGATTAAAGTGTATGAGCAACACAAAAATGATTTCGCTTAGTCAAACATTCACTTACAGCTTATTTCATAGCTGCAGTATTATCTATGAAAAAAGTTTCTACTTTTGCGCTTATTTGCTACTGGTCCATTACCCCTGGACAGCCAATGCAAAATTCAAAGCCGTGTGGTGTATTTGTATTTCTGAAGTTGAAATAGCTACAGATTTCAACTTATATTAATATATGTAATATGCAGTCAGACTTATAAAACTTTTGTTACTGTCTGATGTCCAAATATCAGATGTTAACGCTAAATACAGGGTGTTTGGCGCATCGTTTGCCAAAAGAAAATTCCGGATAGAAGCAGTCAGAAGCTACCTTCTCAGCTTAAAAAAAAAAATCCACACCTCACGGAATAATTTATGGATAAATTTTAGTTCTTTTCTTGAAAAAATCCGAAATTGAGCACTTAACTTCAAACTAAAAAAAAAGTAATTGTTATTGCCACCATTTTTTGGTTTTGATTTAATGTTCAATGTAATGCGGATCTCCTGGAATGAAAATAACGCAGTAGTACCATCACAACTTTTTTTTGTGAATTAAAATGTTTTTGAAAGAAATAAATTTTTATTTAAACTTTCAACTTTCGATTGCAATAAAAAAAAAACTACCTTTGATTATGATCTTCCAATTTTTTTAAAAGTTCTTTGGTCTATCTTCTTTCTAACGGCATGCAATATGCCACATAAAAGTTTTAATTACTTCCATAAATAAAAAAAACATGTGCATTATTGGGGTCGCATTAACCCTATATACGATTTGCAAGTTAAAAGTGTTTTTAACATGATTTGTGCAAATCAGATAAAAACTGTCATCTCTGTCTCTTTCTTTTCTACTGTCCCTTTCTTTTTCTCCATAAATAAAAGAAATATCATCAGGTCGCATGATTGACGTGCGACTTGGGACTTTTTGATTTCACTAATTAGATAGAAATGCTGTCTTAGTCGTGCTTAGTATTAGCACTCTGACTCTTTCTTTTATAGGGTACTAACTAGATTCAAGTATAAAATGAAACAAAACATTAAATTGAAATAAGTAAATCATTTATTTTGCAAAAATTACAAATTTTGTTCAAATTGTTGCCCTCCAGTCCGAACGCACGCGCGACATCGGTTTCTTATTTCCACGGTTGTGGTTCGCAGTCGCATTTCTTCTTTTATTTGCCTAAAAGCCGCCTCTATTCGTTGTTGTAAAACTTCTCTAGATGGGACCTCCGTAAAATACACGAGTTCTTTTGCTCGCCCCCAGACATAAAAATCTAACGGGGTGAGATCTGGCGACCGTGGGGGCCACAGAATAGGGCCATCTCTACCAATCCAGGAATTCGGGAACACCGCATCTAAGTATTCCCTGACTGATAACCTCCAGTGCGCTGGACATCCGTCATTTTGGAATACAATGGGTCGGTCCTCATCGTAAATTGACACCTCGGCCATCAGTTCAGGTAAATCATTTTGTAAAAAATGCAGGTAGCTATCTCCATCTAAATTTTCAGGTAAGTAATGCGGTCCGATTACTTTATTTCCTATTACCCCTGCCCAAACATTGATGCTGAATCGTCTTTGAAAAGACCTCTGTCTTTTCACCCGCGGGTTAGCATCCTTCGACGTCCAATGGTGTAAATTGTGGAGGTTAATTATGCCCTCTTTGGTGAATTTGGACTCGTCCGTCCACAGAATACTTTTTAAAAAGTGATGGTCTTCCACGTCTGTGTGCAGCAAAAATCGACAAAATCTTACACGATTTTGAAAATCTTGATTTTCAAGACCTGCAACCAATAAAATTCGTGTAAGAATGCATGACTGTCAATATTTTTATTTAATTTGATATTTACAGCTGAGAGCACAGTAAAAACCTTGAGAGATAAACTTTACAATGACAGAGTGACGTCATAGTCACTACCTGCTAAACAAAGGCCGCCCAAAAATTTTATAGGCCTTAGCGGACCAAAGTAAAGTGAGAAGTGCGGTGACTCATGTTAGCGTGCGTTGTAAACCTATTCAATAATTACTAACCTTGCACCGGTGTGTAATGAAATGCGTGTTTATTGTTCTGCCGAAGTACTTTCCACATCTTCCAGATAGAAATTCCTAACTCTGAAGCTACATTTCTAATGCTTCTGGTAGGATCTTCGTCAAACAGCGCCAAAATCTGTTCGTCAATTTCGACATTGTGGCGTACCACAATACCTCTTACTCAAATGATCGGCAAACTTCGCTCCATGTCGGTTCCATTCGGTTTACGAACTCGAGTTAGAGAGAATTCAACTCGAGTGGGTTAGAGTTACGCCCAACTCGAGTTAACTCGATTTGGATGAAGAACGAGTCTAATCTAACCCCACATATTAGCAGAAATTTGCCCAGATTCATTATTAGGGTTAACGTTATCGACGTCGTAGCGTGTTTTATCCACACGCCATAAATGCCGACTTCCTAATTGGCAAGACTTTAAACGTGTGAAAAATCAAAGTTTCGGTACTCTCGTGCAAATCGGATTCTATCAATTTTGTTTTGTTCGGTCAATATTTTTTTTTAGCGGGTCTTCTGTGATGAACTCCTGCTCTATGGAGGGTTCTCCGTATAGTACGGATAGTCAAACTCTTCAGCGAATGTTCGCGTTGGAATAAAAGGCGCAGTCGCGTAAACATTAACCATTTGCTGAGACAACGCCGTCGATATTAAATAGCGATGTTCGGATGTCTTGCTCGGGCGTCCACGTGTCCTTCTTCTTGTTTATATGTAAAACGATGTATGTACATTAAAAATTAAGAAACAGTTTACAGCTTTTCACTTTGAACGCCAATCACCTCGTGACAATATACAAGGTGTTTGAAAGCTGGGTGCAAAGCCTTAGAGGGGTGTTAGTATAGACCAGGGTTTCCCAACCTTTGTTTCGCCAAGCCTCCCCTAGGCAAGAATAGTATTTTCGTGCCCCCCTTAGGTAAGTTTCAACAAAAATAAGAAACGCACATTTTATTTAATAATAAAATTATTTATTTTTAGGTATTTTAAATAGGTTGAATAGAGTAGTACAATATATTAATTAAGGATAATAGATATTTATTAAACAACTTTTAATTCAAGTAATTTTAAAACAAATAAATAAAATCTTTTAAGGTACTAGCTAATGAGATACTTGAGCTTGCATGCTCTGTACCAGTTGGTCGATTTTGGGTTCAGTCTTTGCTAAAGCTATGGTTAAATCGCTATCGACGGCAAGGGTATTTCGCTGTTTGGTTTTTATTAAAACTAGAGCTGAAAAACCTGCCTCGCATAAATAAGTGGACGAAAATGGAATAAGTATTTTTAAAGCAAGAGAAGCAACTTTCGGATTAACAACGAATCGTTTGATCCAAAATTTTTCTAATGTCAATAGATGAAAGTCATCTTTCATGGTCGAATCAGCCTTCATTTCTAGAAATTCTTCTTGAACTTCTTCAGGTAATTGTAAGACTTCGACAACAAATGGGTTTCTGGTCATGTGCCATATTGGTGATTCGGAATTGATATCTCGATAGTATCGATTAAATTCATTTTCCAACGCTTCCAAATGAGTTTCTATTTCAGATTTCAAATTTTTACTCAAGTTTTGATTATTAATTTCTTCGGACAGCCGTGAAAAAAGGAAATACATTTTCATCAGATATCTTCTTTTTCCAAAGTTGAAGTTTTGATATGAAACCTTGAATATGATCATAGTTACTAATCAAAGAACCATTTCGGCCCTGAAGTTTCAAGTTTAGCTGGTTCAGAGCTCCGAATATATCAGCTAAATAGGCCAGCTTCCATTGAAATTGTTCATCTTTGAACAGTTGCAGAAAATTATTATTTTCTTTAAATTCAAGAAAGAGGATAACCTCTTCTCTTAATTCATAAAGGCGAGCTAGCATGTTGCCTTTTGATAACCATCGCACTTCTGTGCGGAATAGGAGGACCTTGTGGTCAGAATCGAGATCCTCACAAAGTAAAGTAAATAACCGACTGTTCAATGCGCTACTTTTGATGTAGTTTATGATCTTTATAGCCGAATTCAAAATCTGGCACAAAGACTGTGGCAAAGTTTTTGAGGCCAAAGCTTGCCGATGAATAACACAATGTGTACTAACTAACGTGGGGTTCTTTTCCTTAAGTTTTTGAGCCAAGCCTGATCGTGCACCTATCATTGCAGGGGCGCCGTCTGTGCAGAGTCCAATGAGTTTATTCCAATCCAAGTCATTTCTTTCGATGTAGTTTGATATTGCATCGAATATATCTTCAGATTTAGTGCCTGCTGATAATGATTGGGAATGGAAAATCTCTTCATCAATGTGATCTCCGCTGACATATCTAACATAAATGATTAGTTGTGCACAATTAACGATGTCCGTGGACTCATCACAACTAATGGCAAAAAATGGCGATAATTTGACTTTATTTAAAATTTGTAATTTTATGTCTGATGCCATATCGTCAATTCTTCGCTTGACTGTGTTATTAGAGAGAGATAATGATTTCATTTTTTGCTCAGATTCTACTCCTAACATTATTTGAGTGGCTTTAAGGATACATGGTTTGATTAAATCCTCCCCGATAGTGTGAGGTTTCTTTTGTTTTGCTATCAACAAAGCTAATTCGAATGAAGCTTTGACATGTTGTGAAACACCTTTGTGATAACTTCCCGACTTATCCAATCTCATGCGTTTAAGTGATTCTGCTTTAGAAGAAAAAAACTCTTTGGATTTCGAAGATAGAGTAGGATGTTGCTGGTTCAAATGCCTCTCAAGGCGACTGGGTCTCATACTATCATTGCTTAAAACTTTCATACATATTACACACTGCGGCAATTGTAGCTCGTCTCTTTCTATGAAGGTAAATCCAAATTTAATATAATCATCCGAAAACTTCCTTTTTTTCGATGCCATTTCGCGTCTGAAACAATGTAATAATAGTTTATTACTATTCACGTGCTGCGTGACGTTGGCAATACAAGGTACAATTTCAGCCCGAGATAAAGTTGACAATACACTTGCGAAAAAAAATAGGTAAGTAGGTATATCATGAAAAATTCCAATACAAATTAAAATTGAGAAAAAATCCTCGCGAATTTTTGTACATATCGCCTTTATTTATTTATTAAGATACACCAACAGTATTTACATTTATATATCATTATTCATATAATTATAAACAATAACTAATTTTATACGGAACTCGCGCGTCGTATTAAAAACTTTGACTCGAGAGTTCCATTTATGTTGATTTTGGGTAACTTGATCTCTGGCCGTGTGTACCTACCTATTTTTAGGACATAGCTATACCTATATTTACAGATTTACAAATAAGTACCTACTTGACAACTAAACCAGCACAATTTAGGTACAAACTCAAAACTAACTTATATGAGCAAGTACTTACATATTTTGTTGGAAAATAAAAATAAAACAAATATCGGGCAGTTTCATATTAGTACGTAAAAAAACTTACCTTTTATTAAGTCTCCTTAACGAAACAATTTCACACTTAAATATCCCCCTTAACAGATTTAAAACACAACTTGGACTTTTATGCGAACGAACTATTGACAGAAGCGAGTAGGTACGGCTGGGTACGGCACGCAATTGTTTTAGTGACGGACATGACAGATGGATGCAAGCGGGAAGTTGAGGGGAGCGTGTCACACGTCGTGTTGTGACTTGTAGAAACTTGAACAGCAGCGATTGAATGGCAATTAGGAACAATAGGGAATATGTTTTATTTTTCAATTGTTTCTATCGATTACTTTTGTTAATATAATACGGTAAAAAATATATTGCACACAGAAAAGTCAACATTTTTATTAAAAACTGTAATGACTGTTTTTTTTTTTTGGAAATGTAATCTTACATATTACGTACCTACGACGCCCCCCCTAACATTTCTCTACGCCTCCCTAGGGGGGCGTGCCCCCCTGGTTGGGAAGTCCTGGTATAGACCATCTAGAACATTTTGAGCTATATTGTCTGATATTTTTTTTTAGGGAAGTTTTACGATTTTAGTACCAAAATCCCAAAAAATATCAATCAAGTCCTAATAACGCAAAGTTTAAGTGGAAATGTTTATTATTTTTAATGTACTTCATTAGCCTAATGTGTGTTTAATGGTATCAAATAATTTTAAAGCACCGTTTTTAGTAAAAAAAAAATAGTTTCAGAGCATTTCAGCTTAACAGAAAACATAATTAAAAGAAGGAAATGGATTTGTAGTGACATTAAAAAAAAAATAGCTAGATGTGAGTTAGGAGATGGGCGAGAGCAATAAGCTTTTTAAAAAGCAACTGTTTTTTATTGACGAGTTACTTGCTCGAAGAGCTGAACAAGACTGATTCTTTATTGGATGTTTTACATACAGGCAACTTATCTTATTAAATACTTATAATCTAATTAACTTATAACATGAGTACGGAAGGTAATAAAGGAAGACGTTATGACCGTCTTTATGAATGGAGTCATTGTCTTGGTTTCCTGGTACGTGTTATCGATGTTGATGTTGTAGGTGTTTATGCCTACATAACTCGAGGCAAAACTATTTTTTTTCTTTAGTACCATAAACTTATCCTTATACGACAATTTACTGTAAAAAAAATATGAGATAATAATAAGTTATTTAACTGTAAATTTACGTTTTGCTGTGCGAAAAAGAAATTGTATTTATTTCTTTTTATTTTCATACATTTTATATGATATAAATTAGCTAAATTTAGTAAAAAATCATTAGGATTATCCATTTTTCTCCTACAAGACAATATTTTATTTATGTCTTTGCAGAAAGACCGTATAAAAAATTTCAATGTATATTAATACAACTTTTTTTTTTACAGTTTTTCATGTGTGGTACTTTTAATCGTATTATTTGTATCATTACTCAAAACAATCACAAGCGTTATATATTGTAGCAAATACTCGCTACAATATTTAACTTTTATAATTTCATAAAAAAACATCTTGTCTTTGCGATATATACTTGTAATGAAATGCTCACTAGGGTAGCATAACCAATTACGCCTTGAATATACCCGAAATTTCAGATATACATTATTTATGTTTTCACCAAATAAAAGCGCGTTGCAATTTTGGCATTTCCGGAAAATTCACTTTTTACACACTTTAAAGTAAAAGTTAGTGACGTACTGTAACACCGTGCATGAACTTTGTTTAAAAAACCTGTTTTATTGCACTGTATTATAAATAATAATAATAATCTATGATACCGATCACTGTTGCTTTTACCTTTACCACTACTTCTTATGTTATTGACGATTAAAGATTACGCGTCGCGGAGGCTTGTTCTAAGAGTTTCTTTGCTGAAAGCCAACCGGGAGGCAGAAACCGAGTCCGTAGTTGGGCACCGATTCCACAATCAGAACAAAGACCGACAAAATTATTAAAATTGCTAGTTTTTATACACAAATATTGCTGATGACAAAAATCAATTAATGCTATTTGGTAACTGTGTTATCCCTAAGTCAGCAACATTCTTAAGAAGCAATATCTTTTATATTTTGTTTGTCTTCTCTTATTATTAGTGAATGCTGCATTTCAAATTGCTGGACATTCCTCTTGTTTTGAATTCTTGGATCTAAAACAAATGCCTCTAAGCCTTCACAAAAATCTTACTCGCACTAATTGCCAGTTGTCTGCACACAGGACATAATATTAATTAACAGCACATAGATTGGAATGCGGCTGGACTTTGATTGGTGTTTCGGCATCCAAGACTTCAGATGGACCCGAAAAATTTCAAGAGACAATTGATGTCCAAATAAAATATTTTGTATGGTTGGTGTAGTTTTTGTTTTACCATCTTTATCAATGAATTTCATAGTATTTATGATTTTTTTTTTGTTTTATGCCACAATTCATTAGGCACTGAAGTGGGTATCACAGCCCTTAAATATGGTTTTCCTTTCTTTGCTTAACTAGAATTCATGCTGTCGAACAACTTATCAAAGATAATGAGTAAATCTGCAGTGTCCTCGCATTCGGCAGGCAATTATTTTCTCTGGAAATGAGAAGCAATCATGTATCATGAATAAAAGAGATGGAATCCAAACTATTGTACTTAACACATCATCACGATCATCTCAGCTATTATGACTAATACTTCAGGAGGTCCGGCAGTTTGCGGCGACAAAAATATAGATAGATTTGTTAACTCTCGTGTGACATATTCGGAGTCTTATCACGTCAAGTGTTTAACTTCTTCCACACAACCTTTGGAGGGAGATAAGTTTTATGAAAACAAAACAGTCAGCCTATCATGAAGATTCTTCTTGACATTCAAGAAGTACTACTGCTTTATAATATTTTATCATATATCCTATAATTATTAGAGTATTACCCACTTTATATTGCAAAGTTTACACATTTTTTTTCTTTTATCACGTGCTGTGAAGCGTAGAGTATGAGACTCTTAATCTCAAGGTCGTGGGTTCGGCGCCACGTTGGGCGCCACTGAAGCGTAAATTTGTAGATGGGGGGTGAGAAGCAGCCCCCAGGCTTTAGGGAAAAAGAAACGAAATAAAAACTTGTTTTCAACAATCAATTATTTTATTTCTCAGAGGTAGGTACAGATTCGATCGTATGGTTCTTGTATCTTCAATTAAGAGGATTTATCTTTAAGGTTTAGCGAGATTGATTACGAATTCGCGGGGTCACTCTATCAAGACCCCGAGAACTCGATTTCTTATGTATTTATATTTGTCCTTAAATTAATTTGTATCAAAACGTAAAAAGGAATGAAAACATGCAAAAGACAAACAGTTTATTAAGAAAACTGTTACAATTGTTTGGATAGTTTTGGAATCATTCTCAAGCCTTTGTAAGCTGGATTCTCAGCATACAACATATATGCTCCCACTTTCCTTTGATTGCAAAAGTCTTCCATTTTCATTGGTATGTAGTAAATCCCTTTGCAATAAATTGTTCCTAATACCTTAGTAAATGAAGAAGATCATATAATAGAACAATATCTGACTCATTTATTTTAAAAGTATCTTATTTGAGTTCCACCCCATTTTTTAACTTTCCGATTCTGTTTGTGGTTTAAGACACTGTTGTGGTGTTTGACCTGGGGTCAGCCATTGCATTTTTCTTTTACGGTTATTATCATAAAGAATCCACTTTTCATCACATATCGCAATTCGATCCAATATTCCTTCATTTTTGTACCGATTGAACATGGCAACACAAGTTTCAACATGTGTTTCTTTCTGCAGATCAGTCAAATCATGAGGCACGCATTTTTCGTATTTTTTATTTTATTGATTTGACGCAAATGAGTCAATATTGTCGGTAAGGTAACGTTAATCCATGCCGCTAATTCCTGGGTAGTTTGACTAGGATCGGCTTCCACCATCTCTCTTAATTCATCGTTATTCACTTGTGTGGGCGGTCTTCCTCGTGGCTCGTTCTTCAAGTCGAAGTTTCCATCACTAAAGCGTTTAAACCAAAATCGCACGGTGTGTTCATTAGCAGACCCATCTCCAAACGCAACATTGACATTGCGGGCTGTTTCTGCCGCGTTACTTCCGCGTCGGAACTCGTGTTCGAAAATCACTCGAATTTTCTCAGTATCCATCTTGTCTCTGTTGTCTTGTCCAAGTAGAATAACAAAAATAATTGAGTCGATATTCAAATGTTTCACATTTTTTAAAAGAACGTCATAGAAACCATGTGAATAGTTTCTATCGAAAACCTCAAACCATGAAAATTCTATGTCAATTCACGGAACCTATTACAATAAAACGACAATTTCATACTTTAAACCTAATATACTAAATTCCTTTATCATATCTTATCATATTGTTGTATTATATTGTATTGTCTGCACCAGCAACAGTTCCAGCATTCCTGGAGCGGGGATAGCATAAATAAAAATCTATTCT